ACCCTACATATGCTACATTCTGACCCAACAATAGGAATAACATCCACAACAACACACTCACCTCCCTCCCCCCCCCTTCCCTAACATCTTTAGAACACGCGTATCTAAAACTCAAGAGCACCACCCACCCAACCTCCCTCCCCTTCTAGAAGAGTCGCTAAAGAAACAAGACTAAAGCTCCATCTCAACCTCCGAATGATTATTCCCCGTCGACATCAGCGCCACGGCCGTCGCCCACGCCTCGTAGCTATCCGCCTGCGCGGCGCGGTAGGCGTCCTCGCGCCGGGTCCGGGTTTGGGTCTGGGTCTGGGTCTGCTTGCGGCGTTTGGGTTTGCGCGTTGGCTGGGTGGTGGTGGTGGTGGTGCTGGTGCTGGGTCGGTGGCGTTTGGTTGGGGGTTGTTGGATGGGTTTGTCGTTGTTGGTGGTGGATGAGGTGGAGGGGGAGGGTGAAGGTGAGGGCGAGGGGGAGGTGAGGAGGTCGTCGATTAGGGTTTCGAAGTCTTCTTCTTCTTCGTCTTCTTCTTCTTCATCTTCTGGGGAGGAGGTGGGGTGGGTTTGGATGTCAGAGACGGGAGTTGTTTGGAGTTGGGTGTTGGGGGAGATGGGATGTGGGTCTTGCGGTTGGAGTTGGGGGTTAGTGGTTGTTGTTGTTGGTGGTGAGGGTGTGGTGTCTGTGTCTGTGGCTGGAGAAGGGGGGATGGTTTTGTTGTCTTCAACGAAGGGGTCCCCGGAGGAAGGGCTTAGCTGGGTTGATGGTGGGAGGTCGTGGTCGACTATTTCATCGGAGGCCTGCTCGTTGAGAGTCGGCCACGAGGATGGAAGGGAGCTCAGGTTGTAGGCTTCGCGTTGGGAGTCGGGCATGGTCTGGAGGAAGGTCCATGCTTGTCGGATTGTGTTGCGGTGGGTTTGGGCGGTTTGGGGTGTTGTGGGGGAGATGATGGGGGGGTGGGATGGCGTGGTGGTGGTATTTGGATGGGGGAAAGGAGTGGGATTGTAGGTGGTTTCGTTGATGGTTGCGAAGGAGGAGGGGAGGTTGAGGTCTTCGGTGGAAGATGCCGAGGAGATGGTGGGATTTCTGTGTGGTGGATGGGGAGGTGGAGGTGGCAGTGGCAGTGGCAGTGGTAGTGACGACGATGGCTTGCGTGCTTCGGACTGCTGAGTGTCGAGTGTCATGCCGGATGACTGTTGGCTTGATTGCGGGGTGGCGGAGGGAGCTGCTTGCCTTGACCGGTTCCTTCGATGGACAAGTTCCTCATCGTCGGAAATCATGTCGCGCATCACCTGGTCGTGAGCGAACTCAGTACCTGAGCAGAGGTGGCCGAAGAGGTTCTGCATGGAGATATCTTCGGTCCAGGTCACTGGGTCGACGGTGCAGGGGTGGATGTCTTTCGGTTTGAACGCGGCAACAAGATCACACAGTTCCGAGTACGAGGAGTGTCGGGAGTAGGGGAAGCGCTGGCCTATTCGTCAATCAATGCCAACGCAGCGATATTGGGTGGGATCTTACGATGACTTTGGGAAGCGCCTCGCCTTCCGTAGGGTGCTCGTCACTCGGCAATTGTGTTTCCTCAGCACGGCCACGGCCTAGCATCTTGACCAGCTTCTCTAGAGGCATCTCGTCTGCGTCCTTCAATCCGAAGCTGTCCAGTGGTAGCACCTTTCTTTTCGACTCGAATGCCTCGATAAGAGCCTGTCGAGTATGCGATAGTGCCTGGGTGTCATGGATCCGCTCGAAACAGAGCTTCTCCAGCTGCTCCAAGGCAGACTTGTCGGGCAGCTCGAGCTCGTGGATCTGATACAGATCACCCCCTCCTCCCCCCGCCCCCAACTCGGGCATTTCGGAGCCGTCCTTTGTCCGGTTGACCACCGGCATGATGTAAACGGTGCCCTTCGACCTCGCTACCGAACACTGCACGCCGGGCTCGCAGCTATGTATTCGAGCGCGCTCGTCCTCGCTTAGACAACCTGGAACGAAACGGTTTCCTAGTTCAAACCCACAGAGCGAGGGAACCTCGTTGATGCCCCCTTCCACCCGTGAAAAGGCAAGCGACCTATAAAGGTCCATCTGGTATCGATCGACGTGAACCTTGCGAGTTTAGCATCATAAGCAGTCCTCATATCCAGACAGGCAGAAGTACCTTGGATTTGAGCGCCGCAGAAAGAGCCATCCAGACTTCTTCGTACCCCATGGTCCATGCACGGAAGTAGAATGTCGTGTTCTCGGGATAGGTTTCGACCTTGCGCAGCAATTCGGCCAAGCCTTCCGCTTTCGACGGGAATACCCGACAGATATGGGATGGACGGGCAAAGGTGGTGTCGAGGTAGATCTTGTCCAGCTGCCTGGTCCCCAGAGTGTAGGGGATCAAGATCGGGTGCCGGATGATGCTGTTGACCCACCAGGGTTCAGCTACATCGCAATGTCAGCAACCGAGGAGAGTATCCCATTGAAGGACGGACACACCTCGGATATCACCAGTGTACAGGATGGCCTTCCCATCGCCTTCGATCAGAAACATCACTGCACCGGTGCAATGGTTCGCATCGAGGAGGGTGACCCTGATGGACAGCCGTGGGGTCAGGTCGATCTCTGTTGGCGTGTTTAATGGAATAGGCCTCTTCATCAAGCGAGTCAGCAGTCTAGGGCAGGATAGGGCTCGTGGAGCGCAAATACCAGCAGCTTGGACAGGTGCTTGTAGTGCAGTCTGCGCGATTCGAGAATGCCTTTACTGAAGTTCATCCGATGAGGATACTTTTCGAGCCGTAGGAGGAGCTGGCCAGACCGTAAGCTACTGCGCCAATGGGGTCTTCATCCGCGTCTAATCACCTCGCGTGTGGCTGCTGAGCAGTAGATGAAGGGTGCTCGGAAGGACTCGAGTCCCTGCAGGTGGTCACTATGCACATGGCTCAGGAAGCAGACCAGCGGAGGAGGTCGGTCTGGGCTCTTGCGAAAGTGATCGACTGGCAATGATCCTCAGCATTAATGTTATTCATGAGAGGGAAAGTTGGTTGCAAGATGGGTTACTTTGTATATAGGGATATTCTACTCGACATCAGATTTGCTCGCATTAATCTATTGCGTGGTGTACACCACCAACCTTGGACAATCCCATCAAAGGTAGACATGATCTTCACTATCCTCCTAAGACTCGGGAAAATTTACCCTAGAGTATCATGACCATTCTATATGGATGAAGGGCGAGTTACTAGAGTCTGTGCTGTACGGAGACCAAGGGAAAAGAGGAGAAAAGAAAAGGCAGAGAAAGAAGCAAGTATGACGGGTGGTAACGTGACTGGGCATTTTCATGGACATGGATGGAGTAAGGAAAGAAAAGCACAGGCAAGTCCAACGTTGAATGCTGCACTCGACGCATTACTATTGCTTACTATTATTACTGCCTTACTTGAAGGCCAACTCGTTGGCTCTGCTGCAATACCGGTAAACCTCATCAACACCAGCTGTTACTCCATACTTTTAAGGCAATCCAGATCATACCGCCTTTTTGACCCCGGGCCCCATTTTTACCCTTTCGGACATTGTCTGGCCCCGTCGATTGTCTCAATCCATCCGCCAAACGGGAACGAAGAAAGGAGATATTTTTCAAAGAAAGAATCAATCACGAAAAGACAAAACAAAAGAAAAACCAAAAAGTCATGACGCTGGCCCAGAATACTCCTCGATTCGAGTACCTACATGGACCCGGGCAGTCCAAGTGGCCTTGCAGTTGAACCGTTGAACCTCTTCTCTGTGAGGCGAGGCGAGTGGGCGACGAGAGTGAGTGCCAGAACGGACCCGCCCGCCAACGCAGGGCTGGTGTGCCATGCTATGCCATGCCATCATCATCATCATCACCACCACCGACGTGAGGCAGGCGGCCAGAGTGTCTTACACAATTACGGTGATGGATCGACCTGTTGTCATCGATTCAGGTTGGCTACGAGTCCACGCAGTCGGTCTCCGATGCGATGCGCTGGTCAGTTGCCTGCGTGGTTTCGTCGATCCCAGAGTCAGCCGACTGATTCAGAGTTGAACGGCCGATAAGTATAAAAAGGTCAACCCAGGTCACACAGGCGCTTTTCCTCGTGAATTTCTCTTCCTTTCGTCGTCCTTCGATCACCAGCAGGCTTACTTCTCCTCTGCGTCTCCTCTGCGTCTCCTCACCCGAATCAGGGTAGCCTTAAATTAGACCGCATTCCACTAGAATGGGCCCGATCCCCCATCGTTTCTGATCGACAAGCGGGACGGATTAGGCTTCTAGTTCTAACGGTACCTGAAGCCAAGGCGTCGGGTGGTACGTCACATTATTATTCGCCTCCAGGAAGAGTCGCTCCCTTTCCATTTGGGAATATCTCCGATAGATCATACAAGGGCAAAAGGAAGGGAGGGTCGGAGAAGAGAGTTGACTCCGTTCCTCATCAACCGGGCTCTCGGATCGCGTCTTCCCATTGTTCTTCATTCATACCTCGACTACGCCTCGACTGCAACACCTCCAATCCACGTGTATGGTAGGGATTCCATGCAACCATCTCGGAGAGACATGCCGGCTCGCATTGTTCTCCCTTATTAGAGACTGTATGAGTACGGAGTGTTGGCTGAAACCTTGACCAAGTCGGGCTTGTATCCACGCACCTCCTATCTCCTATTCTAGGCTTTCTAGCCCATCTTCGATCGCTCATTCCGACCACTACTATTGTTGATCGACAATCTCCGGCTACCCCCTTCCGCAACCAGATACATCTCTGGTATCTTCCTCACCGTCTGAGCATTCCCCCTTCTCGCTCTCATTCTTTGTTCTCCTCATCTCACCCCAGCATCCGTGCACTCTGTTACCCCATATCTGTCCTTAGGGTCATCTTCTTTATACACTCTCCCACCTCTCCCGCCCTTCACCGCATCTCTCCTCCACTACTTGCGTTGTACAACTTTGCGTACAACCCAATCCTCGCCACTTATCCTCAGTTTTCCGCCTTGTCCGATTCGAATTCCATCAATCATCTTCAGTATGCACAAACCATCGCTGGCTCAAATCGTGCACAGCGCACTGTTCCCACGGCCGCGTGCGAGCGACCCGGCAACATTCTCAGCTCATATCACCCGTAATCTGGTCCCAGAAGTCCGCGTTGAAACGTCCACCTTCTATGGATCGCTCGACTGCATCGAAGCTCAATATCCGGGACTAGACTACTCACATGGCCCTCACCGCATGAGGCTCAGCCGGTTTCCCTGGCATCGCAGACTGTTCCGGGCCTTCGATGAGTTGGGCCTGACAGAGGCGGAGATCTCGTCCCTCTGCCGCTGGGAGGGAACCAAGTCAGCCCGTGAGCGATATGAGATCGAGGAGGGCGTGAAGGTACGCGACACGACTGCAGATAGTATTCGACCTGCATCCCCTTCTCCTCTTCCGTCCGTCGAAGTGCACTACGAGGACGGCCCGGAACCCGCCAAAGAACCGGAACGCAGAGCAGAGATGCCGACCCCCGAAGTTCGCACCCCAAGCGACGTCATTGATGACCGCGGCATCGACTGTATCCTCGAAGAAACCGTCGAGGAAGATTACAGCGAGGATGAAATGGAAAGCTGCGGGGTGGAGCTGAACCATCGTCTACTGGCCGCAAGCGCTGCGCGCGAACAGGGTGCCAATGTACCACTGGACGAAGACTGGGAACAATGGTTGAAGGAAGCCGGGGAACGGGGAAGCTATACTGACGTGGTGAATGCAATTCGAATGGGTCAGCCCTTGGGATACCTATACGACATACCATCCTCGATGCCTCACATGGGTCGAGCAGGCATTCGCCCCTCCAGCTCGCTATCAGAGCCTTTCACACTACCATCGCCATCCACTTTGCTCGCTTCTCGACGAGCAGGAGGCCACGCCCCCTCCCGAGCTGCTCGTTAGAAGAAGAGTATGCCACCAGAGGAAGAAGAGATTCTGATGTTGTTCTTTTGTTTTTCGGATTAGCGAATGGGCTTGGCTGTTCTGATCGATGCATTTTCAGCGCTCCGGTGGACAGGCGTCTTCAAGCGTTCTATTTCTCTTGACTGGTTGTTCATAGATCTCCATGGTTTTTGTTCCTGGTGTGAATCTGCCCCTCAACAATGTTTAATACCCGGGACCAACTTGCTACTTATGTTGGGCATAGATACTTATTGATTGTTGAGGATCATAGTTTAATTACAATATACACGATATTTGATAGACAGGAGGGTGGTGGCCCAAGTGACTCTGAAAAATACTGTATGTATGTAGTCCATCGGGCGGAAAGGTTCTCCGCGCCGCGCCTGAAGTTCCCCGCGACTCCCCGCGACTTCCAAAGTTCTCTTGCACCTCATCCTCCTTCCTTTCCCCAGCTTTAACCAATGTCGTTCTTCGCCCACTTTTTCGGGATCCGCGCTCGTTAAAAGGTGCTTGGATCTCTATGCAGGATGGGTTGAATTTCTGTATAATCCTCGCTTCTTAGCCATCCCCAACTCCTCATCCGACCACCCCCTGTTCTCCCCGCACCCAGTGTCATCATGATCAAAGCCATCTTCTACAGCAAGTTCGACACCCAAGAGGGTAAGCTAGCCTTGAGAAATTCAACTTGCTGGCAACGACTGATTTTATCTAGGTCCTAAGGTCGTTCACCAGGTCCCAGACGGTGCTATCGTTCCCTCCGCCGCCGCGCCCTCGCAGCCCCCCTTCCTGACCTTCTCCGACATCTCCTTCTTCGTGATCCCTCGGCAAGAACTTTGCGGGAACCTGATTCAGGTTTGCACCAATGGCTACCGTATCCTGGGCTACCCGATCTGTATGAAGTCGCTCCGCTATGACCGCAACGAGTTCATCTTCAACTTCTGTGTGGTGCTGGCGGAAGAGGAGGATTTCAGCACCTACAAGAGTGTTGTGCAGAAGCTCGCGGATCTGATGCACGGATTGGAAGAACAGAATGGATTCTTGTCCAGAGATCATTCAAAATCCGGCGAAGGCAAGGTATATAGCTTGTGCGAGACTTTGATGGAGGACTTGAACAACTACTGCGAATGCATGATCCCTATCGGTATTTCTTGCCCCGCGCTTTACGCCGCATGCGTACTCCGACTGCACAGAGGGATGCTGACGGCCATCCAGACGAGCTGAATACCCTCAACATCAAACTTTTCCCAATCTATCCGGCTCCTCCGCCAGTCAAGGCCTGGCAGGTCCCGTTATTCACGGTCCGATATCAGACGTTCATGGATGAGAACTGGGATCTGACCATGCAACGTGTACGTCGCATGTCTCTAACCACCCCCAACATAGCATAAGCCTGACCAACGCTTCGTCCAGATCGTGTCCCACATCAACGGAGTCAACAGCGTACGGATCATCTCCATCCTGGCCGACACCGACTTCTCCCTAACCTGTCGAGCCATCCGGCACCTCCTCTACTACGGGTGTCTGTTTCTGCTCGACATCTTCTCCTTCTCAGCGATTTATGCGCCTACCGCGCAGTTCAGCTCGACCATCGCCATGGACGAGGACATGCAACATGAATGTGCGCGTTACGTCAACACCTCCTTTGCCTCGCCCGTCACTGCCGCATCCGCCGCCCTCGCCGCCGGCTCCGACCCGGACGCCGTCTGGCCGCCGGTGGGCGACGTGCTCACCACCAGCAGCGCCAGCGTGACCGCGCCCAGCCGCACCCCAAGCCCGACCCTCCTCTCCAATGCCGTGATGGCCACCTCATCCAGCGTCACCGTCACCCCCAGCCCGGCCGCAGTAGCTGCCGCGGCCGCAACGTCCGTATCATCCGAGCCCAACCCTGGCACCTCCCAAACCCGCGTACCCTACGAGAACCGCCCGGTGGTAGACGGCGCCGGTCTGGTCTCGCTGTACGCCAGCCTCAAACAAGGCCAAAACGTCAAGCAATGGTACCTCCATCACAGCCGCGAACTCTCGCACATCGACATCCGCCGCTTCATCACCTTCGGCGTCATCAAGGGCTTCATCTACCGCGTGCACAAATACGCCGTCGCCACGGGCCAACCGGCCCCCCCACTCAAGGCCTCTGCCCTTTCCCACAATTACCACTACCACAACAACACCCAGAACAACCGCCACCACCACCACCATCAAAGCCCCGCAATCACCCCCGCAGGCGGGGGAACGCTCCAGATCCCCATCTCCAGCGGCCCCTCCTCGCGCGGCCCCGGCACGGGCACGAATTCCCCGTACGCGTCGAGCGCAGGCGACGAACCGGCGCCGATTGCACAGCACAGCCAGCACCAGCACCGCCAACACCATCACTCAGAAGGACGGGAGCACTCGACCTCCGTACACAGCGGAAGTCGTCCGGGGACGGTGGCGACACTCGACAACAACGAGGACGACGAGGACGAGGACGAGATCGACGACAAGACGCTCTCCAAGTATCTGGACGGGATGCATTGTTTCGATCAGATCTGCACGGAGCTTGAGATCAGCGAGCGCGAGCTCACGGCGCGGTTGAAGCGGTTCCCCGGCGAGGTGTTGATCATCCATCGGTGACCCGATCCTCGCGAGGGGGAGGGGATGTGGTTTGGTGGTGGAAATGTATTGATACCCTGTGGTTTTAGATTATATGTCGTATGCAGTAGAGACGACGAGATCATAGACACTTTGCATACAATAGTCACTAAGCTACAGCTAGCCTACAGTACCTCTCCCGCGAGGCTAGAGTTAAGCTATGATACGATGCTCCTAGTCATGTGCTTACTGACTGTAACTGAGCCTTGAGAATGTTTCTTCTATCAGCGAAGAGAATACGAACAACGCCCTCGTGACCGACCCGACTGACGCACAGTAAGCCACAGATTTCCATGTAGTAAAAAAAAAACAGAAAAGAAAGAAAAGACCCTCATCTCGCCCGCGATATCATGTCATAACGCCCGACCCGAAATCCCGTAATATCCCGGAAAGGAAGGAAGTAAACTCGCTGCAAGCCCCATGACCCGGGACAAAAGAGGAAAGCCCAAATAATCGCGTCATCTGATAAGGCAAGACCCCCCACGGTGATTCGCTCAGCGAAGCCCAAGATAGATAAGAAAAAGAGAATATACATCGAACATGCATACACCGACGTCATAAGCCTATGGTCATGATAATGGTAACGGAAGGAGCAAGAAAAGATTCTGCTTACTCCTGCTCGTCGTCCCACCCTTCCAGCTCGGCCTTCTCCAGCTCGGCCATCATGGCGGGCTCGAAGACCGTCTCCTCCCTGCCGGGCACGCTGGTCTTGCTTTCGCGGAAGACGGGGCCGATGCAGTCGCGCCAGCGCTTGCGGCGGTCCATCAGGGTGCGGGCGACGTCGCCGATGGCGGGGCGGCCGACGCCGGCGGCGCTGGCGACGTGGCCCCCCGCGCCGGCCCCGCCGGCCCCGCCGCCGCCGGGCCGGTGCTTGGCCTGGGAGCCCTTCTTGCTCTTGCCCAGGGTGCGGGTGCGCTTGAGGTAGGCCTGCTGGACCTGGGAGTCGAGGTCGTCGTGGATGGTCATGTACTCCTGGTGGGCCATGCGCTCGCGCGCGATGTCGAGGAGGCGGGTCTTGCGGGCGCTGTTGATGATCATCTGCTTCTTGAGCTCGCTCTGCAGCAGGCGCAGCCGCTGCGCGATGTCGTCGTCGTAGTGCGCGTCGTAGTCCGGGTTGTCCTCGGCTCCCAGGAACCCCACGTGCCGGAGCTCCGCCTTCAGGCGCTCGTCGAGCTGGGCGTGGTCGAGCTTGGCGGCGGGGGTCTTGAAGCCGTTGGGCGAGGCGTCCGGGAAGGCCGTGGCGGAGGCGAGGGGCTTGTTGTTGGCGTCGGCGTCGGCGGGGGCGCTGCTGCCGCTGCCGTTGGGGAGCGGCGGAGGTAGGGACGGATGGTCGAGGTCCATGGAGTCGCCGACGCCGTTGAGGCCGTTCGTGGTCGTCGTGCCGTCCCCGTTGGTGGTGGTGGTGGTGTCGTCGGGACTGGAGCGGTGCTCGTAGCGGAGGAGGGAATAGAGGCGGCTGACGAGGGGGCCGACGGACACTTTGTCGGTCTCGACCGTCTCATCCGTGACCTGGTCGATGTTGCCGCGGCCTTGGTTCAGCGGGAGACGCTCTTTGTCGCCGTTCGCTTGTTCGCTGTTTCCGAGCCCGTCTTCTTCCGCCCACGTCTCCGCGTAGTGTTTCTTGCCGCGTCGGGGCATGATGAATGGGCTTGCTCGGTCGCCCTGGGGTTTGTTAGTTAGGGTGCCAATGACGCTGGGCGAGAGCGGAGATGTACCTTTTCCTTGAGAAATGCCATATCCTCTTCTGTCATCGGGCGGACGTAGGGGTCCACGTACGCGAGGAATGTATTGGCGCTGACTTGGTTCGTGGGCTTGGAGTTGCTGAAGTCGCGGTCGGGCGGTACCCCCGCCATCATGTGGCTCAGATCGCTGCGAGGGAAGCGGTTGACGCTATAGATAAATTTCTTCTCCTCATCGGTCATATCCGGCGTGACCTCGCGAATGTGATAAATGGTCGGGTCATCGAATTTCAGTGGATTGGGACCGAACACCTGCACCTGAGGCACGGCCGGGGCGGGCTCGGGCTGGTGCGAGCTGGAGCTGTCGTCTGAATCCTCATCGGAACCTTCCCCTTGGGAACCCTTGGCGGCCTCAGCGGCTTCGCGGGGGGATTTGGGCGAGAGGGAGGCATCGTCGGAGGCGGCGTTCTTGGACTTTTTGGAAGCTGGGGATGCGGCTGGTCAGGTCAGTGATGATGCTCGTAGCGACAGGAATGAGGGGGAGGGGGAAAGGCGAAAGAACTGCAAAGACTCACCTCCTTCGACTTTGGTCTCTGCGCCATCCTGTCGCGCCAGGCCATGCGCTCCATGGGCTAGAGGTCGATCCTCCTTGGAGCTGCTGCCTCGTTCCTTTCTCTTCTTGAGCTTGCCGCCCTTGAACACCTTCTCTTCATCCTCTTCGTCGGCTTCGCGCTTCATCTTCAGTCGGTCGCTGCCGCCGCCCTCGCGATCGCCCAACTCGGGCTCATCCGCCACTTCCTTGCGCTTCTGCGATAGCTCCCGGATGCCGGCATTGCACACGTCTCCGCGGGTCTCGGCCAGCTGACTGAGCGCCTTGAGGTGTTCCATCAACATTTCCAGCGACTTGGAATCAGGGATCGGCCCCACCCCGCCCATGCGCTCCAACAGCTCTCCATATTGTATCGAGGCGTTCATCATCAGCTTCGAGGCATCGTTGTCGAGGTAACTGTAGACGGGGCCGCCGGCGGTCGGGCCAGCACTGAAACTGGAGCTGGGGGTGGTGTTGCGACTGCGCGAGGGGCGCACCTCGCGATCACGCTCACGGTCCCGGTCGCGGTCCCGGTCCCGGTCGCGACCTTTGCCCTTGCCTTTGTTGGCGGCGGGCATATTCGGATGGTGAGGTTATGGAGGGTCGGTAGTGGGAAAGCTGGGGTAGATGAGATGAGAACTGTCCGAGGTCGGCGGGCTAGTGGTCCATAATGTTCCACTCGGGGGGGTTGAAGCGTCGTTGTGTAGACGCTTGAGTTGGAGGGCTAACCGATCAGTTTTGGCGGTTGTTTGATTCTGTTGGCGAGGTGGGCTTGGTCTGTTGTGCCTGTGCCAGTTCCCAGTTATCCTGTTCCATTCGTTCCTGGGGAAAGTGACAGCACGTGAGGGGAAGCAGCATGTGAGATCACGTGCTGTGACTTAGTCAGAAGTGCCCAGTGGTGCTTTCACGTGACTGGGAAGATACTCCGTCTCTCAGATTCACTCACTAACAGTAAGAGCTTCTCCACATGACAATCTTGATAGGCAACTGCAACTGGAGCTTGTTATTCACAAATTGTGTTTATATCTCACTATACTATCACCGTACTATAAGACTTTGGGCAGGACAATTGTCAGTAGAAATGTGGCGCTCACCGGCTTGCAGGCTAAGCTGGCTCTTGCAAGAGTGGATGCAAATCCCTCCCGAGTCCATCCGTACTCCGAACGCAAGAAGACCAGCATTGAGCTCTTCTGCTTTGGTATGGGAAGGCCAAATAGTACTTACTACCCAATGGTACAAGTACAAGCTGAAAAGACTCCCAATTGTCAGAACAGGCAATAAGCATGTTTCTTGCTCTTGCATGGTTTGCATGCTTCGCCTACCTGTACACCGCTCTCCACCGCTCTCCACCGCGGACCACAATCGTGGAGTCAGTAACAATCCATCGTCAATCAATCTATCCATGATGTAGCCGCAAAGTGGCCAGCAAAGATCCTTAAAATCCATTGATGCTTGCATCGCGCAGAGAATGAGTCTCGCCCCCAATGCGACAATGGTCTGCATCATATTTCGGAGCCAGTCAGCCGCAGCCTCCCGCAAACGTCTGCTGCAAACAGGACCGATCGGCACCCAGGTCACCCAAACAACCGCAATGAACATAAACACGCAGACCTGAGGAGCTGAGACAGCCCAAGAACCTCGGAGCCCTGCATGACCTGCCCCTGCAGCTCTGCAGCTCTATGTCCGATGCAGTAGATTCAGCAGCAGCATTGCGATCCTGTCACTGACGGGCAAATCCGACCCATTTCCCTTAGTTGCCCTACTGTCAGCATTCCTCCTGGCTATCGGCCTGGACACTGCTTGCATTCTTCCTCATTCAGTGGCCAACATGGATACGAATCTCTTACGCCCCCCGCCTAGCCAAACCCGGCGCACTATGTTGGCTGTGCTGGTTGTCTTTTAAGTCGCTGGCTCTCCCCTTCGAGTGGGCGGTAGGCCCCCATGCGATCGCCTTCATCATGAGTAAGTGTCTCAGCACCGGAGAAAGGTATGCATCCTAAGTAAGGGCTGCGGCTAATTCACTTGCCCATAGCTGCCAAATCACTTACCGCGTTCACGGAGGTCTTCTTTGCCAATCCGGGGCAAGCAACTAACGCAACACCGTCAGTGAATGTAGGTTTCCTGTCCGAGTTCCGAGAAGACAGGGGAGGAAAGACTGACGGACGTCGACATGCTCGCAGAACAGCGCCGCGTTCTCCTTGAAGCTCGATCATACCGTACAGACACTGTCAAGAAAAGGCGCTCCTGGCAGAGGCCCAATCGAAGGATTTCTCTTCGTCCCCAGCCTCGATGCCGCCGACGCGTGCAACAATGCCACTGCTGCATACGTTCCTGCCAACGTGACTCGCCTCGACGATATCACCCCGCTCGGGAACCGCAAAATCGGCCTGGCGCCCTGGATCAGTGTTGACTGCACGCGAGCGTTCCTCAATGCTTCGCAAGGCGCTGGAACCGATGCGCTAGTATTTTTCCAGCCCGATAGCGATGATTCCCAACCACCGCCGGCAAGAGATCCAACATGGTCCTTAGGGGATGAGGACGACTGGAAGAGCACAAACAAGTATCCGGTGTATGCGATACCCGGGCCGGCGGGTGTCACCCTGATGGAGAGGCTATCGTTGTACGGAACTGTGAACGACCCTGACGGTGGGTTTCAGTCCGATTACCAGTTGATTTCCGTGATTGATATAGGTGAGTCGTCCCTGCTGGGCGGTCTCGGGTAATTGGTCCTAATAACAAAAACCAGAAAGCACCAGCCAAACCATGCCTAGTCTCTGGGGCTTCATTCTAGCTATCTTGGGAACCATCCTTGTCTTGAGTGTGGTTCTGCTCGTATTCTACCAGCTCGTACAGAGGCGGCATCGACAGACCCTTCAACGGCGCATGGAGAGCGGGGACATAGATCCGGAGCATCTGGGGATGCATCAGCTACGGGTCCCACCGGATTATTTGGATACAATGCCAGTATATGTCTATGGAATCGAGACCAACGCTGATCACGACCACGGATCCGAGGAACGGCCCGCTAAAGATACAGCCCATTCGCATGCTCATCCCACCTCAATGGGATCTGCAGAAACGATCGTCGCCAACGCCAAAGCTGACCACCGTGTTGACACTCCACCCCGATCCTCCTCAGAAACAATCATACCCAGGCCAGAAGCCGCCCGGTTGAAGGAAGTCGAAGGCAGAGCCGCATCCATTTACTCCTCCAGAAGCGGGAGCGGCACTTACTCCCCCCCGCGAGCAAATGACAGGTGGCAGAAACATCGACTAAGCCGATCACAGACGACCTGCGCGATCTGTCTGGACGACTATGTGTCGGGGGAGTCCACCGTGCGAGAACTACCGTGCGGACATATCTTCCATCCGGACTGCATCGACACTGCATTGACCCAGTCCAGCAGTCTGTGTCCACTGTGCAAGAAGAGTGTACTGCCAGTTGAGCGCTTTCCTGCGCCAGATATTCTGATGCAGATGGCGGGAAATTGAGAGGCGAAGTAAATCAAGAACCTTCCTCCGGTGTGCTATTATCGCCACGGTTCTTATTACAAAAGTCTGGGGCTCAAATAAGCGCTCTGGCACCAGCTTCGCTCGGTGAATTCTAGAACAACATTCAGCATAACTTCGGCTATCAGTGGATCACCTCGCATGGAATTGATGGCACTGAGACTTGCATGTGACAACCTGGTATCGTCTGTTTCGATTGCCTACGAGTGCAATCCGCAAGTTAATCACCACACTCCCCGCGACGTAAAGTACAGAGCTCTATGAACGAGAGACAAGGCTGCGCCGCGAAATGGACCAATAGCTCAACCTATGCTTTGGTTCCGGCAACAGTAACAACGGAGCCATGAAGTCTGAGGTAGTGGCTTCACTATACCCAAACTGTTTTTACCATCTTGATGTCTAATAGTATTCTCCACACGACATACGCATCGACCTCGTGAGGGGCTTGTGCACCGTGAGTGCGGAAATAACAGCTCGGATCTATCACGAACACCAGTGGCGCGGCGGCTTCAACGTCCCGGGCCCAGGGTTGCTACGCCAACCTTCTCATCGAGTTTCCGCCCCGTTTAACAACCTAATCCAGATTATCTGTGGTCCAAGACTTGGAGTGGGACTCTCTGGAAACTTGGAGCTAGCTATAGTAGTGGTTGCAGGTCGCCGCAAGCTTACCCTTCCCGTGACTACTCCACTGGACTGGCTGAGTCGAGCATGGAGGTGGGAACAGCTGGAGATTGTGAACCGGGGTGAAGACAATCCTGGGAGCGGGAGCAATGAAGGAAGGGCTTATGTTTGCGCTGGATGCTCAAGAGGATGGATCGATGGACACATGGTGCGAACGGAGGCCCTTTTCCAAAAGGCTGCAAGGCGCCGGAGTGCAGCCAAGTCTAAACACAATGCACCGCATCATGAAACATCCCTCATGCCCTGTTGTATGATTTGAATTGTAAGACCTCGAGGCATAGCAGAAACTAGGAGTACCCCTACCAGACATTACAACCAATACACACCCAATACTTTTCTCAGCATACCAAGAACCCGCGAACCATCGTCTCAACTTCACACCACCTTCCAATGTAGACAGACATATGGGCCTAGCGATATCCATCCTCCCCAAAGGGGCCTTATCCCCCCCACTTCCCCTCCTCATCATATACTCCATCATTGTCTCTCGACGAGAAAGCAAGACCGCTGCACCCTCAAACGAATAGCATAGCTCCTCCCATTGCCGAGCAGATCCAACCGCGCCATTCCAACGACGTCCGAACCGCCACCCAAACAGCGCCTGAAAAGCAAAACAGACCGCCCTGATTATTCTGGGTATCGAGAGATGGGAGATGGAGATGGAGCCTGAGTCATGCGCTTCGTATAAGTACTACCCAGGCTCTTGGAAGGCTGTAAAAGCCCGGCACGACTTACACTGCGTCTCATCTCTCTCCCCAAGCCCCCCACCCCCAGCAGACAGTTGGGGGTCTTGTTTGATTCTCTGGCCAGCCCCCTCCCCCCCCCCCCCCCCCGCCCCGCTGCATCTGGGATAGAACAAATTAGCATTAAGGCAGTGAGTGGGGCCACATGTCTACGATCTTGGTGCTGGTATGTCACACAGTGTCCACCGAAGCAGCGCACAAGGTATAGAAGATAGAAGAACCAGGGGAGAGGACGGGGGGGTTACCTTCGACAGCCAGGAAACACCCTCGTCTCGAACTATGACACAGGCGAGTGTGCAGCAAATTACCTCACTCGTTGCATTGGAGTACCTGAGATTTTGATGCGACTCAGGACATTGTGACAAGCCAGTCAATGAATGCGGCCAACTAACTCCTTGCTTTACTGTACAGTATCAGGAAGCTCTTATCTTATCACGAATAAGCATCTTCAGCCCTTGGTACTGCCTATAGATAGGCTACCTAAAAGAAATTCCTGGCGTACAGCGAACCACTAATACCGTACGTTGACTCGTCACAATGAACTACGTCTGCACATCGACACCCATCGCCTAATTACAACATCAGTCAATTTTAAGTCTTCGAAGAATCATAGTCTAACCTGCGGAAAGAAAGCCCATCTCTTATCTCCCTCCCCATACATGACGAATGCATCTCCCCTTGTACCCTGAGCCTAACTAGTCACAGAAACGAAAAGAGACGCCTCCACAAAGCATAAATCACACAGAATAGGAAATGAAAAGGGAAAAGCTTCCATGGGAAAAGTCAACTTCCCTTGCAATCTGTCTGTTTTGTATCAAAGACAACTTGCATAAGCGTCTGAGAGCAGGAGAAGTTGACGTCGCAAGCCAAGGAAAGAACAGAAATAATATAATGAATGAGGAAACTGCCCCAAGCAGCATATCTTGACATCATGGTCTCTGTCCCCGGTCCAGAGAAGAATGCCAAGTCCCTGTGCTGTCAGGTCATCAAGGCCGAGTCTATTATTAAGTATCCGCACTAACGATATGTCATGATTCTTTCTTTTGATCCGTTGCGCATGATTTCTATCTCTTGTAAAGTCGCGTCAGGAAACGAGTGTACGAGTGTAAAAGCAGGGGAATAGTACTGGCGAAAAGAAACAAAAGAAGGAAAATTCGGAACGAGCATATGGAGTCCAGGTTGTGTACATGACAACCCCGAAAAGGTGGTCTCGAAGCAGAAGTGCACATGTTGGGTCTCAAAGACCATGGTGAGATTCACAATATCACAGAGGTGGCAAATTGTTCTTCAATGTATTGCGACAAATCCACAATGTAGACTCATGAGAGTTGCGTTGCAATTTCAAGAATTGAGCGACAAGCCCTGGAATCGACTCATCCACTCATTCTGGGGATGCATACGGGAGGATCCAGCGCTTGCGCCAGTGCCTGCCGCGTAGTCGACATATCCCGAATCCAAGGGAGTATATCCGCTAGGTGAGTAAGGGGAGAAGGGATCCGGAGACGCGTGTCCCCCAAGGCCGGACTCTGGCGCCCGGGAGGACGGGCCGAGAGATTGATAGGGCTCCGCGTACGCACTGCGTAGCATGCCTAGCTGGCCATCTCGCCCAGCATCGTGGCCATCTCGGGCAGAGCCATACATTCTACCATCGTGCTGGTGCGAGCGATCTGTCTGCGTGTCATGACTGTAAGCCAAAGGGTTTGGGGCCTGAAGACCTGCACTTGGAGGCGTCACAAAAGAGGCAGGGTTGATGGCCGACATCCAGATCCGAGTTTTGTAGATCTTGAAGAGATCGGTCACCAGTGAGTTGAAGTTGATATAGGAATCGGCGAAGTAATAGAAGGTAAGCTTCTTCCAATCCCTGCGAAAATTAGTATCAGGGGTACAGCGTTGGACAGGGTCGACTTACATCTGGAATTCAGCGTCCAAGATTTCCATGTTGAGCCGATGCTCTGCTACTTTCTGCTGACAGACGCGTTTGGCCTTGGCTTCGTTCCCTTCCTTGTCGCGCAGCGTCAAAATTTCATGGTTTTGGGCAAGCCTCTTGATCAACTTAGGTTTTATGTCGGCAGTGGAGTCTTGAATGCCATGCGAGCCATGAGGGCCCATTCCGCCGATGGCGCTTCTGTTGTTCAGGCCCGGCACACTTCCAGGGGCGTTGACCACATTTGCGGCACCGTTCTGGCCCTGTCGAGAAAACATCATCAACCACTTATAATGATCTTCCGCATACTGTTGCTTGAGCTCCCGGGCTTTCTGCATCGACACATTGGCATGTTGAATGGTGCCAAGATCCGTTCCACGATCAGCTTCGACGATGACGAGGTCGCCTGGTTTCACCTGAAGTCCGGTGTCTTCTTGGATATAAAAAACATCTGCCCGATGACACTTGAATGTGACGATATACAGAAGCTGATTTTGATGCGCGAGACCCGGCTGGTGGCGTCCATAGGCGTTCGGCATTGTGTATGCTTGATGAAGGGAAGTCACCATGGAAGGACCCTCGGCACTGCGGAAGGCCTGGTCGCGAGCGAAATAGGATTCTGCAAATCGTCGAGCTCGTAAATACTCTGACTCCATTTCATGCTCCTCGGGGCGAGGGGCCGCATGAAAATGTGGATACTCACGGTTCTGGCCTTGCAAATTAGACAGAGGGCCATCAAAGTCCTCCTCCCGGTCTCCCAGTCCTGATCTTGTGCTCGCGGCTGCCTGTGGCTCGCCCGAGATGGAACCATGCCGAATGGGTATATCCGCAAATGAATGGCGTCGGCTCTGAGGGATCTCGGAAAAGCTACCAAATCCGAGGGAGGTCTGCCAATGAGCCTTGCGAACGTTCTCCAGAGCACGATTCTCGTAGTTGGGGAACTGTTTCTCCAAGTTGATCGAGTGTTCGGACATTCTCCGGCGGGGACCGCCATGGAGGTTGTTGTAGCCAGGGATGTCCCCAACTTCGTCCAAATCCTCCACGGCAAGATCGGTCTCTTCCGGGACACTGCCGCGAATGCGATGCAAGCTGTGAAGACCGCTTCCGATCGCATAGCCACTAGCCGCGGATGTTGTGGACATGGCACGGTCTCTAAAAGAGTTGTCGATTTGGCCAGCGGCTTGACGCAAGAGAGCGTTCTCCCTCGCAAGCTGTTCGATTGTGCGGGCTTGGTTGGCGGCATAGTTGCTGAAACTACCATCCGAGCCATCCGGACTTCCAGTCTCGTCGTCTTCGTCTTCGCGCACACGTCCGAGAGTAGCAGGATCATGGCCAAGCTCGCCAAGAAGGCTAGGACGAGACGACCGGTGTTGGAGGGAGGTGTATTGGCCGCCATTGCGGGCTCTTCCACCAGAGTAGGGAGAGGCCGACTTATTCGCCATGAGACTCAGGAATTCAGGGTCTAACTGGCCGACGGAATATGACTGTGAGCGGTAAGTCTTGGGAGTCGGATGGAGAGGAATCGAGAACGGAATTGCAGCCTCTCCAGCGGTTGTACGAGTAGGGCTCAGTAGCTCCTCCGTGAAGTAGTTACTGGCGGTGGATGGATTAGACATAGTCGGGGAAGGTATGATCTCGGTAAGGCGGGGCGGTGGCTCTTTTCGAGACTCGGTATTCCAGATACCAGTACCCCAGGCAAAGGTACTATTCCCAACATTGTTCCAGCCCATGGAGCTACCAATCCCAGGACTCGTGCTGCTCGGCCATCCCGCTTGGTCGGTAGCTGGGCTGCTTGGGTTGGAGGCACCAGAAGACAGAGGAAGGGCGGTCAGGGAGGCTTTCCGAGGAGCAATAGCAGGAACTTCATTCAGCCAAGAGGTACGACGGACAGGCTTCGCTGTTGGGGCAGTCGTAGGCGCAATAATATTGTGGGAATGATCTCCATCATCATCTGAAGAAGCGAGAGCTTCTGAATCTGGAGTTGAGCGACGAACACCAAGGTGGGTCTTCTCCAGTCGAGCAGAGACATTGTTTGTCGGCGGTGGAGAGGAGACCGACTTAGGGGTCTGAGGGGTGGGTTTGGTCGATTGTGCAGCCATGATTTCTTATTTTCTGTAGGCCTGTGTTAGACGTAAGGACTGTTTGCCGTCTGATGAGCAATGCGACAGGACGAGACCAGCACTGCGCATCGAGTTTCAGTTAGCAGGGTACAACATCGCCTGAGCTCAGAGAATTCGGATGCTCTAATTGGACAGAATGAGACGGAGTTGAATGAACAAATTGGTAGAAAGAGCGGACGGTCATTTGATTATTTGCAGCGACCGTTCACGACATTAATGCAAGTGAATACGAACGAATGCAACTTACCAAAGTTGATTAAACTGACGTCAGGGAGCAAGGGATATTGGCCCCCGCAATGAAAAAGTGTGGGGTATGTCCCTAATCGAGCGTTAGTCGAAGGCAAAATAGATGGATGAGATCTGTAGTCACCTGAACTGGGCTGGGACTCGCTTCGGATAAAAAGTAAATACAAATTCGCCCAACTCTATTAGGTGCACAAATATTCTGCCCGAAAATACTAGCTCTGGCGAAGAATAGACAAGGCTGACCTCCTGTTCTGTCGCATAACCATTAGTGAAGTCTGTTTCGACGACAGGCTATGAATAACCCATCCATGGCAAAATCCATCGTAGAAGGAGTGATGAATTAGGTGAACAAAGACTGAGGGAAAGAAGGTCTTTCGATGAAATGTGGGCGACATGAATGGGAAGTCAAGAGAGGAAGACTATAGGTGAAGCTCATGTAAGCTGGGGAGCAGCTGCCGGTGGCGAATCCGGAACCCATTGAATCGGGCAACCACTTTTGAGATGTCCCCACATCATAAGTTATGACCGACCGAATAGGCCCGAATGCAAGCTTCACTCTCAGCTCCCGTCTCATGAAAAGAATCAAATCGGAGGCTCGGGTACATCTTTTGCTGTGCTGTCCAGACAAAGCTGTACAGTGAACGGTTGGAGGACAAACCCCATACACACTGAGAGCGGAACACTTGCAGTGTTGAGTATGCGCAAACACAGCCGTCCATTGAACGCCAGAGTCTGGATCTCACAAAAAGAAACAGACCGACATACACCGGTATGATCGTGATATGCATAGAAGAAAAAAAAGCGAAAAACAGAAGAAGGAAAATGAAAAATGAAAACCTCCTCATGCGCAGATGGCACGCGATGGCGATTCTTGCGAACCTTGGCAACATACCTTGGAGTTCAATAAGCCCAAATTCAATTCGAGACCGAAACCCGTATCACTGACTGTCCCAGACAAGAGTAAATCGCAATGATTCGTGATCGCGTCTGTTGGCGCATCCCTCATAATGAGCACATACCCGAGACAATGGACGTATCCGACTTACCAATCTATGTAGAAAACTAAACTTTTCTTTATTTCTATCCAATAAAAGCAACGCAGCAATTCCCCGACCGAATTGTTGTTTCAATGATAATGTAGAAATCGTGTTTCGTATGAAGCGACCAGGCTTCAGTCTAGACGAAGAGGATGATGTGTAAATCGGTGCTGTGCGACCGGTTGCAAGAGGAGAAAGGATGTATGTCGCAAGTCGCACGGGACGGATCGACGGATGTTTTTTTTAATATGTGCTTGTTTGCCGCTGGAGATGCGTTCGCAGTCTCAAGTTGGGCTATAGTTCTGGCCGTGGTGCGAATCTGGTCTATGTGGAGGGTGAGCCTCGAGTCGCGACAGGAAGGACCACCAGATGCGCGAGATCGGGGATAGGTAGTATGACCATAGACGAATGACGTTGGAAAGCAAACTGGCTCCGGTAATGCTGGGCAGACTGCCTTAGGAGCAGCGCATTTTGAGACTGATCACGGCAGCGAGGAAGCGGCAGGCGTGGGAAATTGTAAAAAGTAAAAAAGGAACTGTTTTCTGACTCCGCTTGAATTAGCACGTTTTGAAGGAACGAAGGGTCGGTCTATGGGTCTGGTGAAGTGAGTGGAGGGAGAGGAAGAATAACGGAGGAGATGGTGGTGGTGAACGACGTACCGAGCGCCGAGCGGCGTAAATTGCACAGACGTTTGGAGGGGATAAAGTGGGAAAGCGGGCTTCTGCAACGTTGCTTGATCGATGACGATCGTCGGGGGGAATGTGTGGAGTGAGGTGGTGGTGGTGGTGGTGGTGTGACCGGAGGTACCTTATCGTTCAAGGCGGGAAGGGAAATCAAGAAAGGGAAGATTGAAGGGCAACAAGTTGGGTTTCAAATATAAGTAAAGGGGGAGAGGGGAAGAGGAAGAGAGACAGACGTAAGAAAGAAAGAGGAAGAGAAGGAGATGTGGGAATTATCAGGGTAGAAGAAAAAAGAGGAGAAGGGAAGAGAGGTTGTACAATCGTAAGTTGCGTAAGTCGCGAGTGGGTTGGGGTCAGGATGCGAAGGGGAGAATAATGCAAGCTAAAGGGAGGAGGAGGGAGAGCTTCTTCGTTCGACTTGAAATGAACCTCAGGCCACTTGGACTGGAACACGAAAGGAGGAGGCGACGGCGGGCGGAGGAAGAGAAGGAGGAAGACGAGAGGACGAGCCACGGGTCGAGGGGGAACAGCCCAGCAGAAAGTGGCGCAAAGTGAGTGGTCAAGAAGCAGCTAAAACTGCTAACTACTAGAGGCCGGAGGGAGTTTAGTTTAGTTCAAGAGTCAAGTCAGGGTAGGGATGGATGGGTGAATGATGAGATGAGATGAGATGGGATGGGATGAGATGGGATGGGATGGGATGGGATGGGATTGTCCTTTTGCTCCTTCCTTATGTCTACTCATCGGTTCGCTTAATTGTCTATCCTCTTTTGCTTTCTTTTCTTTCTTTCTCTTTCGCAACTTACCTTACACCTTACTCTACCACAGTCGTCATCTACAATTCAGATCTGGTACCATTATATGATATACCTTCTTCCTGCCTCGGTCGCGATCTCATTTCGAACCCGAACCAGTTGGAGGATGATGGCCCGGTACTTTTTGTTTTCTTCTCCGTACAGCTCCAAGCACACTAAACCACGGCTAAGGGGCAACCAGCTCGCTTTGGGGCGGGGTAGCAAATCGACGGGAGTCTAGATACCTTCTGGAGCCAAGGGCCACACGGGAGGGGAAACAATGACCGTGACCGAGACACTTGGTTATGACGGATTGACTTTCCGGACGAGTAATTGATTGATGGATGAGCAGGACGAACGAATAAGCAGCACATAAGAGAAAAAAAAAAAAAAAAGAACAGAAAACATGATGGGAATGGGAATGGGAAAGTTGGAAGGCACTACTTAGTACTGAGTAACATGACAGGCAGCAGAGCAGAAGCTCGGCCATCGATGGAACGCCCGCAAGTGGGGGCCGGGCGGGCCCCTCCAGCAACTAACATCGATCGCCAAATGCTCCGGCCATTATTTCTTCTCTGTAACCCCAGCAAAAGTATGTTCGCGGACACCTTCGGTGACTTCCAATTCCCTCCTTTCATTCTCCTTCTTCTTCTTCTTGTTCCCTTCTCGCGTACACCTTCTCTCTGAGACTCTGAGGCATCTTAGCAGCATCAATCGGAACTCTATCAGGAAGATCAGCAGCAGGCTATGGTTGAATCTGGATCAACCATCGTTGGAATTCTTCAGCGGAACGAGCTTCGTGCGAACCAGAACGATAACCTCTTCAGAGAGCGTGGACCGAACGGACTGTACACAAATGACACGGGTTAACCAAACTGTCCTACTCAATTAATTGGGTTCAGAGTGAACAAAGAACCTGTCCCCGCGCTTATGCCATCACCCCGAGCCAGCCAAACCACATCTTACATCAGTGTGGCCGGTAAGGAAGAAGAGAATAAATGACATTGTGCAGCAATGTGCAGAATCCTCATGCATGCAATAAGACGAGCGATGGTAATATTGCAGTATTCGGAATACTCTCTTTTTCCAGATAACGTACAGTACTTCTCCAACAGAGTTCATCCGCCCGTCTGCCCAAGAAAGAACCTTTCAGGGGGGAGGGGGGGGGGATTCAGGACCGGTTGGGTGTCATCAGGGACAACTCGTCAACGTCATTCTGGCGTCGGAGTTTCACAAGCATGAGAGCTTTAGGGAAAAAAATAAAAGAAATGTGGGTATGGAACCATCAGAGCCAGCAATCAACTGGGAGCTCCCTGCCTGCCCCTGGTTCAACCCATCTCCTTCTCCTGTGCTATGAGTAAGTTAGCATTAGGCACGGAGTACAGTACAATACGTACAGTACTTTACCTCCACCAGACATCAGCCGTGCCTGCGTTACATAATGACCACCCTACGGACGCCATGCGTCGGATTGCGGGGGGAGAATCATCCTTCCAAGTGCCCCAGAGGCCCCAAATGCTCACCATTCCAAGAGGAAGGGAGAAGGGGGGGGGGGAGTGGCAATTCATTGGTCTCTCTATGGCCCATGCAGGATCGCCTCCGTCCGAAAGTGCGGAGAGAGCTTTCCCGCTTTGAGAAACCCCCCGTCAGCCCTCCGTCTTTTTGCCTTTTGCCTTCAGCATGCATCGCATCAACTCAACTCCTCTCCTCCTCTCTTCTCAGTTTCACACCCCGAGTTTCATCCTCTCCTTTCTTGAAGTCTGGAGCATAGGCAGAAATGATTCATGGACTTTGGAATGTGGTGAGATGATGGCAGTGGTGAAACAGAGTTCGCGCAAGTTGAAAGAGAAACTGATAGTGAACCGGTCTCCATCCGTGGTTCTCGGACTCGTTGGCTTTTGCGGCCCAGCCGATCAGAAGCCATGGGCGTGTTAGACCCCGGTCCTCCCAGGCCAACTGGTTACACTTGCTCACGACGAGCGTGAGCCACCACCACCACCACCACAAGCAAAGCAAGTTTAAACTCCACCCCACTCGGGCGAGATGGAAATCAAACAACTCTCCATTCCTTCTTATCCAACTGGTTCGGATTATCAGAATGTGCACCCCTCATATATGCCAGTGGTGAGAATCTACAACCCAACCTGAACCACCTCACCTCAACCACAATCCCAAAGTCAGGTGAAAAGCTCGCCACACCCTAACCTACTATGTGGCTTCTCCGCAACCCATGGGCATACTGCCTCTCCTAAGTGCCAGCCAAAAACCGAAACTATATTATGACTCAAAAGCCGCCAGGTACCACCAGAGTCAGAGTATCCTTCTCGCCTTTCCTGTCTCGAATAAGGTAGGGTTGACGATCGCACGCCTCCCTCCGGATCCGAAGCGTGGCGGTTTTCCCTCTGGCATGTACATGTACTGTAGAAGAGATCTCGTCTAGACTAGACCACAGCACAGCAGCATCCTTGTGCTGACGGAAGGAGCATGACCATCTCACACCGAGCCCGAGCTTCATTGGCGGGCAAAACCTACCACTACCTTAGGACCTAGTACTACAGTACACTGCAGTGTGTGTCCACCCTTTCTCCCAGGGTGATCCCATTCCAAAATCCAATGCCATTGACCTCTGCCCTCTGCCCTCTGCCCCCTCCAGACATAAGGCATGATGTCATACCACCTGAGAGATTCTTGATATCGACGTAAATAGCCGCTCGAAATGGAGGCCGGGGTGCAAATGAGAGTATGTCCGGACGGACAACGACACCACACTACGTACACCCCATACTTTGGTTCGGCAGCAGACGACCGACCGGTCGTCACTAGCCTCGACGCTTCCCCGGTTTTGGGAAGGTGTTAGTTCGAAAGCTTAGCGCTGGACCATGAGTAGAGAAACGTCAGACTGGAGACTAAATAATCCTCGGGGTCGGTAGGTACATGGAAGGGTGGAATGAATTCCTCCCTCCCCCGCCCCCTTTCCCCTCTGCGCCTCGGCGGGTTGCCGAGGATAGCAAGCATAAGCATACTTCAGGTTTGGGGTTATGGTGGTGGTGGTGGGGAGGGGGTTACTGCTGTACAGTCGGGCTAGAGTACAAGCCTGAAGTCAAGCCGGTTTGGTTACACGGCTTCGGTGGAGGTAAGCAACATGAAGGACTGTGGGAAGCCCCGCTGTTTTTGACGGAATAGGCAGGGGGTGAAGGGGCATTTTGCTGCTCCTCGAGATGTATGGCATGGCTTTGGGGTAGGTGGTATGAGAAATCTTTTTGCAGTAGAGTTGAGGGTCTGCTTTAGTTCATCTGACGTCTCTCTATCTTGTCTTCGACAGCCAAAAGAGACAGACAAATGCAGGTACAGCACCAGGTGTGTACAGTACCTCGCAATGCGCTAGCTGATTCTTCTGGGAGGTCCTGATTAAAGTAGTTGAGAATGTGTAGAGTTGGTTAAATCTAGTCTAAGCCACATAACATAACAAAGAATAACTTATGCCCGGTATATATTCAATCTTGCAAAAATAAAAATACAGAAAATCTGCAATGCTGCCACTAAGGAGCGGAATCCAACGTCCCCTTACCCCCCGTCGAAGCCGTAGCATCGGGCCCCTTCTGCTGACGCAGCTTCTGCTCGAACTTGGCGAATTCGTGCATCGAGATCTCCTCCTCGGGGTCCATCACCTGCTCAACACCTTGGACTTCCTCGATCTGTTGGCCAGTCCATTAGCCACTCGCCCACGTGCTCAATGGGAAGGAAAGGGAAGGGGGGGGGAACATACGTAATGCATCAACATAGACTCGATCCCATTCTTCAGCGTCACCGTGCTGGAGTCGCAGGTCCGGCAGGCGCCGCGCAACTTCAGCAGGACGATGCCATTCTCGAACCCGCGGAACTCGATGTCGCCGCCGTCCTCCTGGATGGCCGGGCGGATGCGCGTATCCAACAGCTCCTTGATCATGCCGACCACCTCGTCGTCCTTCTCGTCGAAGCGCAGCGAGTCCGCCTCCTCGCCTTGCGAGGCCTCGCCGCCCGTCTTGGCGACCGTGTTGACGATCGACTCGCCCGACGTCACGGCCTGCGTGATCAGACTGAAAACCTCGGGTTTGATGTGCGCCCAGTTGGCGTCGGCGGCTTTGGTGACGGTGATGAAGTCGGGCCCGTAGAAGACCGAGGTCACGCCCTCGACGTTGAGGAGCTGCGCCGCCAGCGGGGACGGGTGCGGGGGCGCGAGGGTCGAGCGTGGGGAGAGGTATTCGAGGAAGGTGGTGGGGAAGTTTTCGGGGAGGACGCGGTGGTTGGGGATGAATTTGAGGGCCTGTCATTTATGGTTGGTTAGATGGTCGTTCACGATACCTCTAGTCGGTCGAAGGGGGGAGAGCGGTACGTACATCAGGGTTCGGGGTGTTCTCCGTCTGGATGAATATCGTGCGCTTGCTCGTCGGCGCCGGCCCGTTTACTCGCGCCTGCACGAGGGAATGGTGGTGAGGTTGCAGAGTAGGCCGGCGACGGGTCTCGGAGGGAGTGATCGCGGGCAATCGTGCGGAACGGTGGACGCTGCGGTAGGATCCAAACACCGCCGGCCGGGTGAAGCGCGAGGCCTCGAGAGCGCTGCTGCCAGCACCGCTCGTCAATTTGCTGCCCAGTAGGGCGGTGCGTCGAAGCATGGTTCTCCCGGGTGTAGAGCTGACGGACATGGTGTGTCGATTTGATTGATTTGGGGGGCTTTCAGGCGCAACAACTGGTCGAATGGTCTTCCGTTGGTGGCTAAAAACCGTTCTTCGAAGATGTTGAGAGATGGAGGACTGATCGATAATACTTTCTTCCCCGAACGCTCGGCCTCTGACGCAATGAGCTGCACGTGACCTTTGGCATGGAATCGATGACAAATTCGGGACTGTTGGTGGCCAATCACAATTTTACTGTTTGACATCTTTTGCCGATGCCGGGGAAGCCCCGGTTTGAAAAGTCTAGATTATACTGTGCAATGTGTGGTTCGGGATTGGCCAGAAAGTGTCAAGGTTGGATTGATACTACTTTGTGATTCGCATGAGTAGTTGACTGAATGCCCATGTCTACTATACGTGGCATCGGTTATTGTTGTTGTGGCGACTGCTTCTCAAATCTAGATTTACGCGAGGTTGACTGCATGTGAACATCAATGAGATTATCATCTCCAGGATGTGGACATTCAGTGCCGCAGATCCTGGAAAGAATAACTGAGTTGGCTATCGCACTCTCCTAGCGATTTGTTTGAACAATCGCATGGGAAAGGGCTACGTTATTCTGGAGTACAGGGAATCACTGTAAATCTTTGGCCATGAGTGGCGAGTCGACAGCAGTCAACCTCTAGACGGGCATGTTGTTGAGGACCCATGACGTCGGATACTTCCATGCCTAGTGCATGACTGGGCGGAAATCTCACTGTCAGGGTGGCTGCCAAGAGCTGTCAGTCGAACAGCCGCAACTAAAGTCGATGATGTTGTGGTTGTCTTCCGTTTGTGAACAAACGCGTTAACTAAGTGTATGATCGGCTGTAGGGCGACCGATGATCTCAGGAGCTAGTCGACCACCAGAAAACAAGAGGACTGGATCCCCTCTGGAATTCATGCGATTTCGCGCACCTCGTGGAAGAGAAGTGATAAGAATCAGTTGATACGTCAGTTGAGAGACGCATATCGCGCGTGAAAAAGCCGACTGAGAGATTAAGGCAAACAGTCCTTCCAAGCTTATGCTGCATCGAAGCAGCCGGTGGAAGAAGACCTGTGTAGCTGGCCACCCCTCCTCGACCCCCCGTCGAGCGACCTGCCAGCCTGTCGGTAAGTTCTTCCACGGGCTCAGGTTGCACCGCGCCACACGACGGGTCTATTTGCAAGGTCATCACGCAACCACTCTGTTTAACATCCGCCGCTCGAAGCTTGCACGACGGCAAGCGGCCTGCCAAAAGTCGAGGGAAGTGGCAGACGGTGGAACAACTTTCCGGCCACGGCTTTCTTTCGTTTTTTACCCCGACACACCGATTGGTACTGTACTTGCTGCTGCAGCCCTTGTTACATGTGCAATCCATGCGATGAGTTCCGGGGGGCGATGAGTGGATCGATTCATGCTCCCATCGGATTCCAGCAGGGTACAGAGGCATCCATGATACTGAGACAAGCGTGGGTTTCCCACCAGGCGGTGGGAGCTGAGAATGTATCTGCCTAGGATTCTGTCTCCGATCGATTCTGCTGTGTCTTATTTCCAGCAGATCGCTGCTTATTCTGTATTTTGACACGGTACCGAGGCCGGTGATGAGGGGCGCGATGGCTATAGCCCAGGAGTAGGTTTCTCCCCAAACAAAAGCTCAGGGAGGGTTTTCAAGCTCTTTCTACCATGTGCTGTCCTGCAGATACCGCCCGATCTAGGGGCTAGTAGTGGTCAAGCAACAGCATCATTCGATCGAGTCTTCGGGTTGATGTTTTGGCGAAATGTTGGATCACGAAGCTGAGAAGAGGAAGCTGTAAAGTTATATATATTCAAGCGCTGGTTCCTCTTGCGGTTTAAAGTCCTGATAAGTGTTCTTTACCCTGAGACATGACCCAGATCCCTGGATGTATGCGAGTCTAGATTTCATTTATAATCGCTTTTCAGCCTGGGTCAATGGTGTAAGCTGTGATGGCTCATGTAGTCCTCGCAATTGCACCGCACGTTACCTTGACGGCGCGGCGAGTGTGACCGCCTTCCCGAGAAAACCGCGCTAAGCCCAAAGTATTCCCTCTGGATGCAACTTGCAGCGGAGCACATGGTCGAATCTTTCCCCCGTGGAGATCGAATCGACCCGGCGTGACATTTCTGCTTGGCTCACCTTTCGTTGTGACCGGCTTCCGCAGGACGATGGTCCTCAAGGTTCATTTATAGCGCTACTAGCACGCCTCAAGACTGCGAAACAGACGGGTAATAAAATGCCGGGCACTTGCGAGGTCTGCGTGTCGGAGCCTTTCAAGTATCGATGCCCGACTTGCGGGCTGATGAGGTATGTGAGCAAATTTCCTCTCTCGCGATGTATCCAGGCCGCGCAGGATGAAGAAAAATTATGTGATCCCGGACAATCACTTATTGTAGTCTTCTAGTTGCTCCCTCGCATGCACTCAATCACACAAGATCTATTGCGCCCCGAAGGCACTGCCGCCGAAACCGTCGGAAGACCAAGAACCCTCAGCTGCAGCCAATGGAGACCGCCCCGAGGCTGAAATGCCTCAGACGGAGACTGGTCTCGATATCAAGTCCTTAGGCACCTCCAGTCAGCTCAAGGAGCTCCTCGATCGCTTTCCTTCTCTGCAGGATCAGCTGCAGGACATCTACCAGGCTACTTTGGAGGAGGAATGGCAAGAGAATCAACCGTACGTCGGTCGGCACCGGGGCTTTGGGAAAGGTAGAGCGACGCATCGTCATCGCGGGCCGTGGACGCGTGAGAAAGGGTTCAACCGGGGAGTGGGCAAGGTCAGAAAGCTTCGGGAACGATGTGAGGAGGGGGATGAAGTAGGCCAGAAAGCAGAAGGCTATATGCGCTTCATGGCCTTGATCACGGGGAATCAGCTACCTGAGGCTGCATGAGAATGTGCCTGTCTGGTTTTGTTGGTGCGTCTTGCAACGAGAGGCAAGGTGGCAAACTACGCTTCCCACCGGAAAGGTGCCAAGACTGCACGCAGTGCAGGTTTGAGCTTGGCCAGCCGACCAGCTCGATGCTGCTTCACCCAGCAGCCAGCCGCCTTGCTTCTCACCCTCGGGGACACGTGTGGGCAAACTCGCTGGAGAAGGCGGTGCTGTCCGACGAGTCACGACAGCAATCCCATCGCAAAAGCTGCGTGTATATAGGTAAACAGTATAGCCTCACTCAAAGGCCACCGCAAAGCAATCGAATTTCAAAACACTAGCCAGGATGACCAAAATGAGGAGATACCACGTGTACTGTCGCGTAGAGCTGACTCGGGATGGAGCTACAGGCGATAGTTTGTCGACCAGATAAGCTGTTTTTGCCGCCACGCAGGCCGATCGTCGTGGATGGAGCAGTCAAATGATCATACCCCGTAGGTAATCCAGACTCTGGGGAATACCAGAGGGCCAATGGCTGCTCGTATTGTGCGGATAATCTGGGGTCACCCTACCAATAGCATAATTGGGATTGCCCTGGTCGCCGGTCGCATTTCTAGGGGTTTGAAGAGCAGGCTGTCCATGGACGTCCATCCCGAGCGATTTACCCGCACGAAAAGTGGGAGCGGGGGAGATCGCTGTGGATGGATTCCTTCTCCGTATTCAACGGAGTGATCGTACTGTAGTCACTACCGCGGTTGTCCATGCCAACCAACTGGGATTCGCCGCAGGTTTAATCTAAAGGAAGGATTTTTTCTACTTTTTGGAAATAGATCATGTCACAATTTCTCCAAATGGTGGCTGACTCTTGGCTCGAGTCGCGTACATTGTTGGGAAGTGGTAGTGGTTGTTGTTGGAAAGAGGACCGGAGGAAGATGTGATTGGGATGAATTGGATTGTCGGGGGATGGAAACCAAAGGGAAAGTTCGCAACTTTGGACTTCCCGTAGCTCGCACTCTAACAATGACCTTGACTACCTTGACTACCTTGACTACTGCCTTCGTCCGTGACTCTTACTTCCTTTCTCTCTTTTACCGACACTCAATCCCTCTGTTCTGTTCCTTTATGTCCGGCCCCCTGTGTGACCAGACAGGATTATTCGGCGATCAAGTACCGAGTGTCCGTCAGTTCATGTCACTTCATGACTACTAACTTAGTACTATGCCTCGTGTTGCTAATTTTAATTGCAATCCTCCGCAGTAACATTAGTTAGCAAGCAGCTACTTATCTAGCTAACTAGCCAGGTAGGACTAGGCCCCCAGAGGCCTCTCCCTCCCGTCTACTGTGTACGTCTACTGCTCCGTCGGCCCCCAGTTGTCACTACTACTATCAAGTGCTGTACCAGACCACCTAACCTAAGGTACTCCGTACTGTGTGTGTGCTGTCTATCCGTCTCCTCCGATTCTCGTCTCTCCTCGGTCTTCTTCTTCTTCTTTTTTTTTTCTTCTCTCCCTCCAGCCTCTTCCCTGCCCTCTCCGATCTAATTGTACTCTACCCATCGTCGACTCGGTACCTCCTCCTTTTTCCTTCTTCTCCCTCTCCCTCTTTCCCCTCCCCCCTCCCTCCTCCTCCTCCTCCGCATCATCCTCAACAATCTGTTCAATAAATCTCTCGTCAGACTGTGCTACCTCAGTCTGCTTCCCCCTCCTCTCCTGCCCTGGAATTGTGAATCGTATTCAATCCCACGAGGGGGTTCAGCTGGATTACTACCAGTACCCAGGAGGGATCTTGTTACGGCTGCAGAAGAGACCAATCAGAAGCGGAAGAGAAAAAAAAGAACATCGCTCCGGGCCAGACAACGGGCGGCGGAAAAACGACCAAACAAAAGATTCCCTTCCCCTTCGACTGAAACTGGTCCTACGCATTACTCCCCCTCTAAGATCATTTATTTTAACCCATTTCATTTTTCGAAAATCTTCCGTTCGATCAATTGATTGCGGTACAAAACGGATTTCAATTGCTGATCCTTCCTCTACCGACCTTGTGCGAGCGACAATGGATGAGCTGCTGTGTCCGCCTCCCTCACTTACCTAGCCGTTGAAACCTCACGCTGTCGCACCTTGTGTGTTTGCTCGATCGGACCCTCATCTGCCCCGCGACCACCCTCTACCCGTTCGCGCACTGTCCTCCCCCCCCCCTTGAACGACCCCTCATGAATTCTCAACTTCCGAATAGAGAGCGAGCGGTATCTAGTGATAGAGCCGAGGCTGCGCCCGTCCCGCAGAGACCGGGGCTCCCCAACCGCACCATCTCCGCTCCCGTTGGGGGCCTATATAAGCTCGATTCGACCAGAATGGCCATGGACTCGGTCAAAACGGGGCGGACTCTGGTGGAGGAAGATGAATCATCGCCCTCGGTGGGAGGGAACAGAACCTCGTCCGCTCCCCCGGGTGAAGAAGTGAGCCGGTTCCTTTCACTGTGGTTTTATTTCAAGCTATATCCTTTGGCAAGGTTGTCTGACACTCAATGCCATTGCAGATGAGGCAGCAACTGCCCAACTCAAATGGAGGAAATGGGATTCCGTCAACTCACACCGGCAATGAGGTGAGCCTACCCTACGAATACGTATTGCGGCATAGCTGACCATAGTCTTTGACGCAGCCCACCCCGAAACCGAATTTCCCACACGTGAGCATCGCCGTGGTTGGCCCAGACCATGTGGGTAAATCGACTTTCATTGAAAGCGCACTGGATATGAAACACTCGCTCTCATCCCGGGCAACGACAAAAAAAATGTCCCTTGATGGGACGGTTTACCTTGTTCGGTTACTGGAGATTGATACACTGGAGATCTCGATTGGAAGCAATGGTGAGATCCAATGGCCAAGATTAGGAGGCGATTCACCTCCTTCCGTGGACGGTGTGCTTGTTCTCCACGACGTCACACAGCCCGGGAGCCTTTCCAACATCAAAGGATTGCTAGGTTTGTTCTCTTGTTCTGAGCTACCAGAGTATCTCGATCGAGGTGGAGATTTGTATGCTAACAATTGCAGCCTCTCTGGACGCCTCATCCATACCTTTTCGACTGGTCGCAAGTAAATGCGACATTCAACCGCCCCATGGTCTACTTGAGCCAGTCTTAGATGGCTATGAGATCCTCCGCACCTCCCCCGATTCGCCACGGTCGCAGAAAATGTGCATCGCTCTGGTTTTGCGATCAGTCATCAGCGAAAGGAATGGTAAGTGTTTCAGTGCAGATATTCTTTTCCTTTCCCCTGAGTCTGGAGTCGAGTCCACATTATTGGGCGGCGGTCTTTCACTATAAGTGCTGTCTGTATACCCACGGTGTCTCTGTCTCGCATGACTCCATGAGTCACCCAGATTATCCACTTTTCTCCTGATTATGTCGGCTGTGGCCCGTCCATAGCAATGGTCCACCTTATGTCGCGCTAGCTCGCGGCTCGGCTGCGCCTAGCGTTCGCGTTCGGACTTCGGAGACCCGCCCGTCCCCAGAATGCAGGCGCAGCAGCAACAGCGCCACCCCGATTTCCCTTTGAATCTTCCGACTGGCCTAGAACCTTCTGTGTCGATGCTAACTGCGGCTTGTAGCTGAAGAGCACTCTTCTGACAAGACGGTCACACCGGGCTGGCGTCATAGCCGTGCCAACTCAGAAAACCCCACAGCCATGTTCTCGGGAGCCGCAGGCGGCCCAATAACAGGAGCTCTGGACTCGGGGATCGATGGGTACGGTGTAGATCGTCAACTGACCGACTCAACCGCCTCTAATGGCCAGGGCCCACGCTATGCCCGAAGCAATTCTCAACCTCTACGACCTCACACGCCTCCCTCGGGACGACTCAACCAGCGCAAGCAATCCATCCCGGGAGAGTCATCGCCCGGCAAGGACTTTAACCGACAACATCGACTTCATGCCGCCTGGCGCAACAGTGGCGGATCGGACGCTTTCAGTAGCTTCATCGAAATGGGGGAAGAGATTGACGGGCCCCGAAGCATTCCTTCGAGTCCTGGAAGCAAAGACAAAACACCGAGTGAGAGCTCTTCCAATGAGAACGGCTTCACTTTCGAGGAGCTGGTAGACCGGCTGGTCGCACAGCCGATGTCGAAGCATGACTCCAAGTTTGCATCCATCTTCCTGTGCTTGTACCGCAAATTCGCCGCCCCTTCCTCCTTATTGACCGCCTTGATCAACCGGTTTGAGCGAAACGAGCGAGAGATTTCGGATCAGCTTACGCGCATTGCCGATCAATTAAGACTGCTAACCGTTATGGCTCAGTGGGTGTCGGAGTACCCGGGTGACCTGGTTTATCCCAAAACGCAGAAACGGATTGCCGAGTTTGTTGCCAACCTCGAGAAAAGCCATTTCTACATGTTTGCTGCCAAAGAGATTGGGTCTTATCTTGAGGCCAACGCGGAAGATGATAACATCGGGTGGCCGTTCAGAGATGGCGAGGTCGAAGAGGTCGAAGCAACCGAGCCCGCTTTTCAGTATTCGGGTCGAAGCTCCCCGTCGATCTTCCTCGGACCCCCTCCGCTGAGCGATGAGGGTGATGAAGAGGAAGAGGATCCTATCTACAGTATGAGTGCGTTGGACCTCAGTGAGGGCGCACTTGAGTCAGGGTCGAGGATGTCTGCGTCCATGTCGAATTCTTTCACCGCCGAAAAGCCCGGGACTGTGGCAAGTCAGTCGTTTACGGCCCTGAACATCGACTCGGCCCAGAAGGAGGCTCGGCACTTAGATTTGACACCCCGCGTGCCGTTGACGAAGGTGCAATGGCGACAATTCATGGAAATTCCTGATGAAGATTTTGCTCGTGAATTGACGCGCATTGATTGGATTATGTTCAACTCCTTCCGACCACGAGACCTCGTCCGTCATGTTAGCATCACCGGTGCCGACAAGGACAAAATCCACAGCCTGAAGAACGTCAATCGAATGATCAAACAGTTTAACCACGTGGCATGCTTCGTTGCGAGCGTCATTCTCCTCCGGGACAAGCCTAAACACCGGGCCAAGGCGCTGGAGAAGTTCATGAACATCGCATTTGTAAGTTCTGGGGAGTGTGCCTTGTTTGTGTGCTGCAACTAATCCTAGTGGGTAGAAACTCCGACGACTGAACAATTACAACTCCCTTGGGGCTGTCATTGCCGGGATCAATGGAACCCCGGTACACCGACTCTCGCAGACTCGGGAGTTGGTGCCGACGCAAACGCAAAAGGACTTCATGAGGCTGGTCATCCTCATGGGAACACAGAAGAGCCACTTCGCCTACCGTCTGGCATGGGACAACTCATTCGCAGAGCGAATTCCGTTCCTGCCGTTGCACCGACGCGATCTGGTTTCGGCGGAGGAAGGAAACAAGACATTTGTGGGTGACACGAAGACCCGAAT